GTGTCATATCGATAAAAAACGAAAATTATAATAATTACGTTATTCTTGCTATCATCTAAATTTTCTGAACTCGAGACTACTTCTCTTTAAAAAATACCCTACTAAAAAGAGATTGCGTGAGACATGAGAGAAGACGTCTACTCCAATCAAGAATTCACGGATTCCTCGTCTCCACTCATAGATAATTTTGGGGTGTTTCAACCTTTTGGTTTTTGATGATTGATAGTAGGGACCAAATGGTTTTAGAGTGGACGGACGCCACATTTACGTCAACATAGAGGTATTTTTAAAGATATCCAGAACCGGATTTTTGAAATAGGATTTTATTTTTACTCCCTGAAAACGAAGTCGTAATGGTCTATTTTGAGATATAAAGTTTTCACTGTTTCTTATTTTTTATATTTGCTGTCAGAAAGTTTTAATTTCATTGATGTGACTAGATGATACGTAAAACTGGCTGCTCTAATAAAAATCTGAATCTTAAAAATCTAAATCTACAGCGATTTTTCCGAAAAAAAGAATAACTGATAAGACTCCGAGTTTTAACATTTCGGAATTTCGAAATATTCCAATTTTAAAATTTTCGGAATTTAAACTTTTATGTAAAAAACACTCTCCCATCATAAAATCGAGACATTTTTTTTTCGAAATACCGAATTCCGTTAAGAACATGTTTTCATCCCTAGGTCGGAATTTTGTTTACAATCACAAATCACATCAACATCTATTATTTTATTACTCATTACCACCCAAATACATTCTCGAATACATATTTCAATGTCCCTGAGTCAGCTTCAAGCCAAATATAGCCGAAGTGATTTCTCTTCTAGATATATTCCTCTCTTCGACTCATTCCAAAATAGTTTATCATCTTCTTTCCCCTTTTTTGACGCATTTCATCCTCCGCATTCGAAAATACAAAATGTGCGGTGCTTTATAAGAGTCCTTGGTTCCTTTTCATGAATAGGCTCTCGTTTTTTTTTAACGTTGTGCACTTTTTTTCTGTCAACAAAAAAACTCATCCAGAATATTTGCTATCCGCAGAATGGGGCCTAAAATATTTCCAACCTAAAATAAAAATAGCTGCTGGAAACAAAAACAACAAGCTATGGAAAATGTTGAAACCTGGTAAATAGTTTATTTGCGTCGGTTCCAGGAACCTCGTTCTGCTCCGACCCCCGCATTTTTTCGAGAACAAATCAAGCTAATTTTTCTTCCGGAACATCCTGAAAGTCTATTTATGCTACATTTCCTTTTGAAAATATGTTTTTTGTCGGTTCCGCCTGTCTATTCATTTTTTTTGTTCCTTCTCTTCTCGTTTCACAATATAATCTCCTAGAGTACAATCAACACAAAAATTAGTGAAGAGGGCCAAAAAGAAAGAGAAGCTTCTAGAGGATGTATGTCACGAAAGAATGGGTAAGTAGAGTAGAGGTCACTAATAAGATTTAGCAAAAAAAGAAAGAAAAAAGTAAGGGACCTTTTAGAAATTACGAGTAGAGATCAGAGTCACCGAGTAGGGTAGGCCTACTGCTACTGCTATACGCCTACATTTCCTGACAGAAGAGTTGGCTCAGAATGAACTATTAGCTGCTTAGAAACATTTGAGTTTTGTACGTACTTATCTTCTGAACTAGTCAACGTCATTTCCGGATTTCTTATCGTATCCAATGGATATTTTTTACTTAATGTGTTCGAATTAATTAATACACCTTTCTGTTTCAGTATGGCCTTATTATTTTAAGTTTCTGATTAATGATTGTTCGTTTATTTTCAAAGAAAAACTCATGATCATGCCAAAACTTTCGGTTCTAGAAAAATGTCCAGAAAAATATGTACACTCACATAAAAACTACTTCAAAACATTAATATTATAGAAGGGACTCCCACACTGTCAAGATTGAGCTTAACCATCTTAATTCCTATGCAAGAAATCAAAAATGTGTCATTTGATAAAATGTTTGTGATATTACGATAAACAATTTATCAGTTGACAGTTTTTGATATCTATTTTAGGAACTGATTGTGAGATAAAACGGCTCAAAGTTAAAAGTTAAGAGCTTCCTATTAGAGGTTTTACGGTAAGTTAAATCCGAAATAAGTTTCAAATTCTTCGAAAAGTCGCTTTAAAATCTTTTAAAACATCTCTAAAGTCATTTGAATTCCCACAAAAACGAAAACAAATTCTAGGTGACCTCTAGAAAGATGCAAATAGTATATGAAACATTTTCTGCATACCTTACTAGAATTTTCAGTGCCCTTACATAGTTCTGAACCTATATTTGGAAACTTCATGGTTCCCCGAAGAGTTCCAAATTTTTCAACCTAGAAATAAAACCCAACTTAAGATTAATCTATCCCGAATATCTTCCTTATATATAAACAAGAATAAGAGTTCATGGATATGAAATAGGTTTATTCTCAATCGTCATTGGAATTCGGGATGATTCAGGGTTTAGAGTCTGTAGAGGGACTGGAGGATTGGGAATTTCTATCTTGATCTCCTAGAGCCAATATGTCACATGAGAGAATGGTATTTCATGACTCATGGGGCAAAGTCCAGAGAGAAAGGCACGTCGTGGCGCTAAGGAATCAGACTAGAAACAGTAGAACCGATTTCATGGGAAACCGAGTAATAAGGGTCTTGCAGACCCTTACACAAGCGTCTGTTGGTATCTCTGTCAGTCTGTCGACCTTTGAAAAGCTTGGAAAATAAATATAGATTTACGTGACGCTTAAAAAATGAGGAGCGGCGATCCAGTGAAAAAAAAGATAAACACGCGCCAAAGGCGCACCAGCTACCTGGTTCTCAATAGAAACTTTAAAGAAATGTTGAACTGAACCAAGGATTTGGAAACAGTACGACGGTCGGCAGCATCCCGAGCAGTGTGTAGGTTTCCGTGGATCAACTGTCTTTTTTTCGGAAAGAAGCTAAGCCACCGAAAAAAAAATCAGGAGACGCTGGACCGCCGAATCCAACCTATCACAGAAATGACCTAACCAAAAAAGCCGATGTCCTGTTTTCGATAGCCTTGAAGTTATTCCATTCGGTATGGGACGTACTCCAGAGCATTCACTCTATGCATAAATGATGTTTTTTCTGGAAATTTAGAAATCATGTCGCCAGTGCTCATCTCGCATTTTCAATTCAATTCTAAAAAATTTTTGGTCGAAATTTTAAAATTTTGTAACATTTTTAGAGACTTTTATTCCGTTTCACGTCATCTAACCTAAAAATAAGTGTTCTCCAGACATAGTAACCTAAAAATATAATGTTCCTAGACATCATATCAACTCTAGACACATATATTTCTGCCCAGACCCATTAACCCTTCCCATCTTTAGAAAACTTTTGGGTGGGTGTAGACCGCAAAACCCACACGTCTTCTACTGATTCTCAGAATCCAAAGTTTTCAATTTGGGGAGTATAAAAGGCTCGGGAAAATTCAGTGTTTGCAACGACGGAAACCCTCCGTTTTCACCTGTTTTTT